TGTGTGCGCCATGTAAGTGAGTGCCCTGTCGGTGTGTGCCCTGTGAAGAATAAATGTCCTGTAGGTGTGTTTCCTGTAGCTGTGTGTATGCCCTGTAAGCAAGATGCACAGAAACAGTGCTTTTTCTCCCTGCTGCAGGGAGCTTATCCCATCAATCCTCAGAACTGATAAAAATCAGGACTTCAAGTTGAGATGCGGCACACCCCGAGTCGTCCCTAAATGTGCCCATCTGGGCCTGTCTGCACCCCACCCAACCCCATCATTCTTCTAGGGTCTATTGGTGATTGGTGCAGTGGTCCAGGCACTGGCTGCTGCTGCTGCGCATCCTGCTGGGGGCAGTCTCAGGCTGTCCTCTGGTCCTCTTAGCAGCAACCACACAGCAGTCTGTGGCAACATTGGGATTTGAACCCAGCTTTGTTGGCCCCAGCTCTGCCACGACATGAGATTTCCCCTTCTCTTCCCTTCCTGCCTGGCCATCACAGAAAGGGATATCCATTTCCTTGCCAACTTGGCCAGTCACAGTGGCAGAAAAGCCGCAGTAGCTGAAGAACCTAGGAAAGTCTCTCCCCCGCCCGCCCCTGCCCTCCACCCACCTCTGCTCCTAGCCAGCCTGCTCCTTGACACTCCTCACATGCCCATCTCCTGCTGAGACTTCCACCTCTCCCACAGCCTAAACACTCATTAGCCTGTATCAGTTCTGTCCTGAACCCTGACCGCCTCAACCCACAGTTGCCACCGCCGCAACCCACCCGTAGCTCCGATTTCCGCTGGACCCTGCATCCCTACCCGGCTGCTGCCCGGCTCTTGCCGGTATGGCCCTTCTGGCCGCCTTGTTCCTGACCGCAGCCCTTGGCGCCCTGCTCAGCTTTGCACTGCTGGCAGCTGCGGTCGCCAGCGACTACTGGTACATCCTGGAGGTGGCGAACACTGGCGGCTCCGGTGGCGCGCCGCCGCAGCTCTCCTTGCATTCTGGGCTCTGGCGCACCTGCGAAGGTGAGCTGCTCCTGGAGACTTGCCCCGCCCTCCCCGTTCCCTTCCCTTCCACCTGATCCACTTCCATTCCCGCCCACCGGTCCCTATAACTCCCTCCTCCTAAGCCTCTGTGGCATCTTGGTCTGCTCCTCAGGGAGTCTCTCAGTCCCAACCCCGTCACAGTCGTGCCTCAAATTGCTGGGTGACAGCTGGGCTGTAAGGATTTGAGGAAGCTGAAGGACAGGGTGCTGCCATCCCATCGTGGCTATGGGTGGGAAGTAGAGGGGGGCTGGCACTATGCTTCCTTAAGTTCCTAAAAGGTTTCCTCTGGGGCCTAGCTGGGAAGAGTTGGGGTGTCATCGGAAGATAACAGGTCTGGTGGATCGGAGCTCTGCTCCTTGCTTCTGAGGAATTTGACAGTACTTCTTAGCCCGGGTCTAGGTGCCTCCCTGGAGGTCAAAGGAAGAACACCGGAGGCTGGCGCCCAGCTGCCAGGGCCTCAGTCAAGAATTAAATAAGATTTCAAGGCACCTGCGTTGCCCGGCACCCATGTGTACCTTGACTTTCAGGGCAGAACAGCTGTGTGCCCCTGATTGACCCGTTTGCCAGTGACAGCTTGGAGACTTCTCCCTCCATACAGCATCTTCTCTGTGAGCCCTGGGCTCGTGCCATCTCTGCTCTCGAGGTCTGGGATCAAGCCACCCTATCCCAGCCACCTCCCCCCAGCCCACCCAACTGCTTCTGAGGCCTCAGGGACCCAAAGGGTCTGCCCATCACAGCCCCCTGACCACAGATGCTGGAATCCCAGTCTGTCCTCTCCTTTCAGTGAGGATGCAAGCCGGCTCAGAGCGTGATGAAATCTCACAGGGCCCACAAGTCAGCCTTCTAGTTGGATGGCCGTAGACAACCTACCACCCCTGAGAGGCCTGAGGGTGGAGTGGGGAGGGCATTGGCAGAGCCTCTCTCAGCCTGGCCTCAGGAAGCCTGTACCAGAGAGGAATGGCCACTGGAAGAGTCTCCTGTTACTATGGAGATGGGCATCTGCTCAACCCTTCTGGGGACCAGAGTAGGTGAAGGCATGACTGTCTCTGGCTCCTCCTCTGCCTGCCCTGAGCCTTCTCTTCCCACAGCGCTGCACTGCACTGTCACGGTAGTCCTGCCTCT